TTCAGGACAACTGATTGCATATTAATGCTGAATGTAACAACAAAGATTCTATCGAAGGTTGTCATTTGTTGCAGTCTACTTACAAGACTAAGTGCCAGTATATTTTACCATTCATCAAGACATTGAGGCATTCTTCGCTTTAATCTTTTTTTTAAAGATCCTCCCACCTCAACCTCCCAAGCAGCTGGGACTATAGTCATGTGCCACTGCACCTGGCTCTACTTCAATACTTTTTATACTTACTCTCATCTTCATCATCAGAATCTGACACATCTACATCGCCTTCCTTAATGATCACTCGGGCTTTTGAGAGAAAAAGAACGTAAGTTATTCTGTTATTGACCTAGAAAATGAACAGCTACACAAAAAAGCTATTTTTCCACAGCCCAAACTTAATACAATGATTAGATTTACAGCCAGAAAAGAAGTAAGGCAACTTTATAGTTTATAAATAGCTAAAAATTCCTAGATGAAGTCTAAGACTTCATCAGAAGCTCACTAAAGCAAATGACAACCCATATAAAAGAAAATCACAGCAACTAAAGAATCTAGACACCTCCATAGGGGTCTTCATAGAGAACAGACATCTACTAGAACTCGTGACAATATATGCCTGGAATTTTCCACGGTGGTGGTACCGCTCACATAAAAATGGAAGGCAGTATTTTAATAAAGAGGTGTTTAAATAAAGAAAAATAAAGCAAGCAAAGAGTAACCACTTACGAGGTACAAAATGGGAAGCAATCATGCTGAGACATGGTCTGAGGAAGACAGTCTGTGCTGACACAAGATTACCAAGAAAAGCCAAATATTCCTCCACCACTGTTTTACTTCTATTCAACCAAGGCAACCTCTAGAGTAGAGAGGGGAAGATGAAATAAACATTTTATTGATATACACTATTTTTAAAGTACTGAATTACATACTAATCAGTGAAATGAACAGTGAACTTACCAATATAATAGTGATAAGCTGTTCAAAGTCTTTTGTCAAGTACATGATAGAAGAGCGGAATTCTAGCAGCCAGTTAATGATTTGGTCATCCTTAAGTTAAAACAAAGAAAAGTACTTTTGAAATCACAAATACTCTTAAGATAACAGAGAAAATTATATCTACCTTACATCAATCATCTATCAATAATATTTAAGTTTGGGGGGTGGTCACAAGCTTGAAAAGAAACAAAAATTGGGTATCAAAGCATGAAAAGATATCACAATAAATGTTCCTGTTTTAAAAAAGTAATCTAGTAACTCTGATATACAGGAAAAAGAATTAAATGCAATACTTCAGCCTGATTTTCTTTGCCCTTAAAAAGTGAAAACAACTCCAATGTTGACACCTGGGACTTTTTAAAACTGCAGAAGTATAGTAGATTCAAATATTAGAAGATCAAACGACCAACAGCTATCTCTATTTTCTCTATATTCAAGATGACCAGAAAGCAT